AGCCACTTTCAGCCCCAGCCCCACTGATTGATGTTACGACGAGAACGGGAGAGCGGGAGCAAAGACGGCAAGAAAGAACAGGAACAGCCTTCGACAAGAAATCAGACAAGCGCCAATAAGTTTTGTTGCACAGCGACGGCCCTGAAAACGCATGATGAAAACGAGCTTGGGTGCGGGCTCCTGCAGCAGAATCCTGCAGGATCCTGCAACGCCTGACTAACCGGGGTCTGGATTGACTCTGGTCAGCAGATCCCCGAACAGAGGTAGTGGGCCACATATGCGAACCCTACCCCTGCCCCCCACGATTTCTCAGGGGGAGGGTGGGGTTCACTCCGTGCGGGAGCTCCCGAGCGGAGGGAACCCCACCCTCCCCCTGAGAAATCTCGTGGGGGGCAGGGGTAAGGGTTCGCACATGTGGCCCTCTATAAGAGGCCGGCCCAGGCTTGGCCCCATGCAGGGAGCCCCGACGGTGCTCCTCCCGAAGCTGCTCCTGGCGGCCCCGCAGGGGCCCCGGAGGAGGAGGAGGAGGAGGAGGAGGAGGAGGAGGAGGAGGAGGAGGAGGGGGAGGAGGAGGAGGAGGAGGAGGAGGAGGAGGAGGAGGAGGAGGAGGGAGCAGGGGCCCCCGGGAGAGGCCAGGCGCGTGGCCGCAGGGCCTGCCGCCGCGGCGCGTGGCCCCACTTCCCTGTCCCTATCCCTATCCCTATCTCTATCCCTGTGCTGGGCATCGCCTCGTCGCGATGGCGATCGCAGGGATTCCCTCCGTGTTTCGGAGGGTGCGTCCCTCTCAGATGCGGACAAGATTCACGTCCATATCCAGTGCCTTTTTCTGACTTTTTGTTGGAAGCGGCGCCACGAGGCCGAGGCGCACCGGGTATGGATAAACATCGAGCTTCTGGGGGGCAAGCTTATCCATATTCAGTGCGCCTCGGGTTTCTTGGGAAGGGAGCCCGAAACTCCATACTGCACTGGATATAGAATAGACAGAAGTATTGCCCGCATAAGATTGTCATCGCCTTTTGGCGTGTCAATCTCAGGGAGACAGGGATCAGTCCGAGGCTGGCTACCCGCGGCGCGAGGGTCGTCGGGCCGCCCCGGGGGCGCCGCCGGGGAGCGCCCGCCCCGCCCCCGCCCCCGCCCGCCACCTTGGCACCGCTCGGGCGTGTGCATTTTTCCGTCGGCGAGGACCATCGAGGAAGCCACGCACGAAATCGGACAAAAACGCAGGGAATGGAGCATCCTTGATCATTTGAGTACAGAGAGAGGCGCATCAAAAAGGAGCATCCTTGACCATGTGGCGACAAAGCCACTCGCACGAAATCGAGCAAACACACAGGGAAGGGACGTCCGAGCGATGGCGAGCCACGGAGGCCCTGCCCGCCGCGGAGCGGGCCGCGCTGGAGGCGCACCTGCTGGCCGAGGCGGCGGCCGCCCGCCGCGCGCCCGCCGCGGCCGCGCGCCCGTGCCGGGCGGGCGCGGCCGCGCCGGCGGCGGCGGCCGCGGCGGGGCCGGCGGCGGCCGCAGGCGGCCGCGGCGCGGCAGCGTGCTCCCCGTCGAAAGGGTGGTGCCTCGGTGCTCTCCGGGTTCTCTTCGTCCTCCCTTCCTCCCCTCCTCCTTCTCCTCCTCCTTCCCTCCCCTCCCTCTCTCCTCCCTGCCTCCCCCTCCTCCTCCCCCCCCCATCCCTCCTCCCCTCCCTTCCCCCCTCCTCCCTGCCTTCTCCTCCCTACCTCCCCCCTCCTCCTCCTCCGCCTCCTCCTGCTCCTGCGCCTCGTCTTCTCTCCGCCACACGCACGGCGTTCTTCGCCACCGTCCGGGATCCACACGTGCAACCGCCAAGCGAGGCGGTCATTGCTGCCAGGGTCGCGGGCTACCGGGTCAAGGTTCGCACCCCGGCTGACAATTACAATAGCTATCTCTTCCGCTACTACTTATGAAGAGGCCCCGCCAGCCGCAAGGCATCTGACCCGTCACATGCGGGCGCTCCTCCTCCTCGCTCGGGGGCAGGAACAGGTCCACAATACTATTTTGATTATGTTTGTCCACCACTCTGTAGCAAATCACGACCCAAACGCAGTTCGCATATATTTTCTTCAGCACTTGCCGCACGGAGAATCGGCTGGAAACTTACACCTTACACACTATACCTTGTCCTGTGGCGTTTCCGAGAAGCCCCATGGGGCAGGGCCCAGATGTTTTAGTGTATATCCGCGCGATTCTCACTCGTTGCTCCTTCCTCCGCCGCCTCCTCCTCCTCCGCCATCCCTTCTCCTCAGAAGCAGTTCTTCCCTGTCGCCCCCCCCAGACGCGTCGGTGAGGCGGGCCGGGCGTTTCGCCAGAGACGTCCCCGCCATGTATGATCCTGGAGCTTGTAGGACGGGCCGTTTTCAAAGTGTGGACCTCGCCTTGGCGCCGTGCACATTCGCTGTGATGCTTTGCAGCAGGTTTCCTCGATGGATGGCGGGCCGTTCTCAGCATGTGGCTCTTGCCCAAGTGCCGCACGCACTCAGAAAAGCTTGTGCGACCGTTTCACCCATCGATCGGGTGTCGTTTTCAATGTTGGTTTTCGCCTCAGCGCCGCGCACACTCGCTTTAACAGATGGCAGGCTTTTCGCGGATGGAGGGCGAGCCGTTTTCCAAATGCGGTTCTCGCCGTACCGCCGCGCACATGTATACTAAACGTATGTATGCTCGTCTGGTCGAAGTCCCAGGAACGGCATCTTGGCACGATGTTGGATTGCGGGGAAGAAGCGGTCAGACTGATTCGCGGTGCTGAAATCCAATAGACGGTGTTCTGGCACGATTTGGAGTTGTCAGGACGCAGCACTTGCGTTGATCCGCGATGTTGCAGGCGCAGGGAATGCGTTTTTTTTCTAGCGGGCCACTTCCCCCAATGCAGATCAGTTGTCTTAGGGACTTGTGAAAAGGGAGACTTGGGAGGGAGCATTTACTGTACTGTCATTGATGCATCTTGGGTTTGCACTGGTCCTCCTCCTCCTCGTCCTCCTGTTACTCGCCCCCTCCTACGCTGCGCTCCTCGTCCTCCTGTGCTCTGGCGGCCTCTCCTCCCCTCATTTGGGCGTCCGCCCCGCCGGCCCGACCTGAACGGACTACGGATGTGGATGTGTGTGTGTGTGCGTCGCAATGGGAAGAATGAATCCGTTCCTTCTCCTCCTCCTCCTCATCATCATCCTCCTCCTCGCGTCCGCCTCCGCCTCCCTCTCCTCCTCCGTCTCCGCCTCCGCCTCCGCCTCCTCCGCCTCCGCCTCCTCCTCCTCCTCCTCCTCCTCCTTCTCCTCCTCTTTCTCCTCCTCATCCTCCTCCTCCTCCTTCGCCTCCTCCTCCTTCTCCTCCTCCTCCTCCTCCTCCTCCTCCTCCTCCTCCTCATCGGTCGCCGGCCGGGGCCCATGGGGCCTCCCGAGGAGATCCGGGATCCGTCGTGCGGGCGGGGCCGTGGCCGCTTCGGGCCCTGCCGGCCGCTGGGGTGGCACGGGCAGCGCTGCGGGGGGATGGGCTCAGAGTCAGGAGCGGAAAAGAGGGGGATGATGACTAGGGGGGGGTGGGTTTCATGGCGCGGGCCATGATTTTTCCTCAGATTTCATGGCGCCTCTTCTCATTCATTACGTCCCAGGACCCCCCGCTGGGCCGCCCACATGCCGCTGGTCATGATTTGCACCCCCCCCTCTTGGACACCCCCCTCGTGGCCGCTCCCGACAGAGGGGGGATGCGCTGGCTTCGGCCTTCAACCTCGGAGGAGAAAGAGGTGAAGTGACTGCTTCCTCTCCCTGGTGTTTCCGCCTTTCTGGGCGTCCCGGGAGGCCTCCGTCGCCACGGCTGGATTCGACTAGACGTAAGAGTGACCTTTCGCCGGAGTGACCTTTGGTGCGGGCACAGATGGGTCCCCAGATGGCTGAAAGCGAAGCAGGAGCAACAGCTTGCGCGCCCAGGTTTGGTCCCCACGCGGCCCTCAAAAAGCCGCGCACCAAAGGTCACTCTTACCCAGGGTCACTCTTGCGTGTAGCCGATGGATACGCTCCCAATTTTTTGCCAGGACGTACCCCAGGAGAGGTCCAGGGAGTCACGGTATCGGTATCTGTCGGTTCCCCCACAATCGCCCAGTCATCGCCGACAGAGGCTCGATCGCCCGGTCCGCCCAGGAACACGCGGGTGTGCCATCGGGGGCCGATCGCCGATCCAGATTGATCTTCGTTGTGTCGTCGATTCAAGTTCGGCGTTTTCCCCAGGAGCTGCGCCCCCCCAGCGTTGCTCTCCAGGGAGGGCGGACGAGGGGCGGTGTTCAGGCTGCCCTGGCTGCCCAGACCTCCTCTTCTCGTCTTCTGTCGCTCGAAGATCATCATTGCGGCTCGTGTTCGCAGCCGGGGCCTCTGTAGGCTAGCTTCGAGCCCCGTGGCCATCAGAGGAGACAGCCAGGGACGAAAACATGGCCCTGGAGAGAAGGGCCGGCGGGTTCGGTGGCCCAGGCCACAAGCAAAACACGACGTCAGAGGTTTGGGGAGGATGGGGACACACCGTTCGAGAGCGTCCCGGCGCACCCCGAACGCGCTCCAGAGTCTTCTGGAACGGCTTCGGAGCCCGATGCAGGCTTTCGGGCTTCCAGGGGTTCCCGAGTTGTCCTTTGCCGGTGATGTTTCTACACTGCCCTCGTTGTTGTTTGGGTGGGTGGGCACGATCATCAGGCGCCTCTTTTGCCGCGTGTTCGGAGCCCCGCCGTCGCGATCGTGAGTCTGCCCCCCTGTTTTTTTTCGCAAGTTCTCACGAGCCTATGCGTTGGTCAGCGGGCACCCGCTGTGATCATTGTCTTTTACGATCGCCTTACTGGTGACGCCGATCGGCCGACGCGAGTGCGACGGACAGCATATCGCGACACAGTTGTCCTCACTCTTACAGGCGCCTTCCCGTCATCGTGATGTTGCTGAGCCGTAGCTGTTCGATAGCCGTGCGCTTCGCTCAGCCATGTGGGCTCTTATGGCACCTGTTGCCCCGCAATGGGCAGATCTTCTGTCGAGGACGATTTCAACGATGTGTGTTGCGCTTGTGGGTAGATTTTGTTGTGAGAGCGGGGGACGGCATGATCTCTTGCGATGTGGTTAGAACATGTTGCGTGTTGAATGCGGAGTGATCCGTGTGGCAAACCATGGCACTTCATTGCAATGGGCGTCTTCCGCGACATGATGCGTTATGTGTTCGATGTGCTTGTCCACATTGTTTCTTGTTGAGATGCACTTGCCCATTGCCCGAACCACGGTTGGTGTTCGCCTGCCTCTACTGCGTTCGGTACTGGTGTTGCCAGTTCCTTCTCGTACGAGCGATGCGTGTCGTCTCATGCTGCTTTTTTTGTGACTCGCCTCGTGCACGCGAGCGCGGCTTGGGCCTGGTCGCTGCCACATGCCGAACGTGCACCCTCGGAGCCGATGCGGAGGGCGACCCGAGACCCGCCCCTCCTCCCGAGCCGTTTCTTGACGCCTCCCGGGGCCCGCGGGGGGCCCGGGGAGGCCGTGCCTCTCTCCGCAGCGCGAGGGGGTCCGGCTCGGATCCCCTGCAGGAGGCCTCGACGCCTCCCCCCGCGCCGCCTCGCGGTCGCGCGAGCCCTCCTCCTCGGCAGGCGCGGCTCTCGCAGGGGCGGCGGGCAGGCAGGGTCATGTCGGGCCTGTCCCCCTACAGGGGGATTTTCGACGACAACTAAAGAATTCGCCCAACTAATTGAAAATATAGATGAAACAGATCATCCCCAGACCAGTTTGGTATCATTTTTTGATTCTTTTTGGTGTATTTTTTTTTATTTTTCGTCGAACATCTCCCCGTAGGGGGACAGGCCCGACCTAAAGGCAGGGTGCGGGGCTCGCGGGTGCGCTGCCGCGGCCTCCGCGCCCCGCCCCCGAGGGGCCTCGGGCGGGAGCCCCGGGCGGAGCGCGCAGGGCTCCGGCTGTGCGCTGCGGCTCTGCTCGGGGAGAGGGCGCCGACGGGGCGTCGGAGTTGATGGGCATGTTTTCCACCACCACCACCATAAGTTGGAGCGGGAGGGGGGTCCTCCTCCTCCTCCTCCTCCTCCTCCTCCTCCTCCTCCTCCTCCTCCTCCTCGTTCTCCTCCTCGTCCTCCACCTCATTTCCGCCCTCTAGCTTATGGTGGTGGTGGTGGTGGTGGAAAACAAGTCCATCAAGAGTGAGCTTTCTGGGCGGGTGGCGTGGGGCAGAACGCCACCCAACCCGAAGGCCTCAATTTGCCCTCCATTTCCAGTTGGGGGGGGGGTCGGGGAACATCGAAAAGACACATGTGGAGCCCATACCCCCCCCCCAACCCGAAATTCGGGTCTTCGGGTTGGGTTGGGGTGGTCTGGAGGGTAGTCAGCTTTCGCCGGAGGGACCTCTGGGTGCGGGCACAGACGGGTCCCCAGATGGCCAAGAGCGAGGCAGTACAGCGGCTGCTTGCGGGCCCAGGTTGGGCCCCCCCCCGCGGCCCCCAAAACGTCGCGCGCCAGAGGTCGCTCTTACCCAGGGTCATGCCACTCCTGCGTGTAGCCGAGGGGGGGAGGAGGGGGGAGGGTGCGGGGCCGAGAGGGAAGCCAGGGGGGGAGGGGCCCACCCGTTCCTGCTTCGTTCCGGGCTGTCCCTGCCGTTGCATCGAGTCCCTGCCCTCGAGACGTTTTTCGCTAACAGTTGTTTCCTCTACCCCCGAGTTCCGCCCGAAAAGTTCGGCAGCTCAGGAAAAGAGGGACACCCTGGGATACACCCCAAGGGGGCTATTCGGACGCACCCCTTTCGAGGATGGACGCCCCCCCATCTTAGATCCCAGGATTGGGCCCTAAACTTTTGGTCCATTCGAGCAACCCACGAAGCCTGGGATAGGGTTCGACATATTTCCTGTTCTTTCTTCTCGGGGCTCCTCTGCCTCCGCGTATTCCTCCCCCTCCTGCCTCCCGCTCATCGTCATCCTCCTCCTCCTCGCCCCCTTGCCTCCCCGCGTTCCCCTCGCGACTCCTCCGTGCCGCCGTTTTCTCCTCTTCTTCACCAGCGCCTGCCTCTTCCTCCGACGGCGCGTCCTCCTCGTGGAGATCTCTCCCTGGCGCGGTCGAGGACGACGGCCTGGGGATAGAGCTGGACCAGCTGCACGAGCTGCAGCGAGCCTACCTGGAGAGGGACGCCGCCGAGCTGCTGGCCACGCACTTCCCGGACGCAGGCGGCTCTCCTCGCAGCAGTGGACGCCAGTTTGGCACGCTTGCGCAGGTGCGTACGTATTCAGCCCTAGTAGCACGCTCCGTGCCTGCGCAGTAGCGCAGCAGGAAGGAAAGTGTACGACTCGGTCCACCAGTTCAACGCCGCGTCTAAACTTGCACGGATCTGAAGCAACGCTTCCGTTCGAAAAAAAAGCTGTCCTGCTGCTGGGAGCAAGCAAGGCAATCGGGCGCCGAAGCGGCGCACAGGCAGCCAGGGACGCTGCGCACGTCACATGCGAGCAAGCTGCGCGAAGGGGGGGGCGAGGAGGAGAGGAGGGAAGAGAAATGCAGGCATGATCAGAGGCGTGTGGGAAGCCGCACGCAGCACACTGCATTTACGGCCGTACCGCTCAAGGCGTCCAGGTGCGGTGCAGCAGGAGCGGCAGTAGAAGCAGCAAAGGAAGCAGGAGGATAAGGGGGAGGACACGGAGAAGAAGGAAAACCAGCATGGCATAAGGAGGAACACGTATATCGAGAGGAGGACGGGAAGCGCTCATGCTGGCGCCAGACCCTGGCATGTGTAGAGCTCGTCCCCTGTGGCCTACGGCCGTGCTCGCAGCTCCGCGCCTCTAAAGAAGTGCCCTCCTCCACAGGAGGGGCCGCGCTGGAGCCCGAAGTCAGTCGCGCACTCCTCTGGAGCACCGAGCGCTCCTCAGCCTCCACAGATCCACGGATCCGATGGCGTCTTCTGTTCAACACGGGGGGGCCCCCAGAAGCTTGGCATCGCTCGGACGTGTGCATTTTTTTCTCGGCGAGAACCTTCGAGGAGCATCCTCGACCATCTGGCAAACAATCCACTCACGAAACCGAAAAAAGCACAGGGAATTGACGTCCGAGCGATGGCCAGGAAGTCTCGAACCGATCCCCGGGACCGGCTTTGCGTCCGGAGTCGTTGTGTGACGGCCCTGGGGCCCCGCGACGGCCCCTCTGGAGGCCGAAACCTGTGAAGCACCTCCGCCTCGAGCTTCTTCCAACACACGTTGGACCTCTGGGGAGGCCTCGCGCTGCCCGCGGCGACCCCCGCCCGAGGCCTCGCGCGAGGCCTCGCGAGAGAGGCCTCGCGCGGCGCATGGCCCTCGGCAGCCGTGCCACGGAGAGTCAGGAGGGCAAAAACACACAGACACAATTAATCGTCGATCACCAGGAAAATACAGGAAAATATGGGAAATGGGAGAAAACGAAAACCGACAAAATATGGGAAAATATCGGGGATCCTGATATTTGTGTGTATTTATTTGTGTGTCCCAGGGCTCCTTCAGGGAGGGCGACCTGCACCCGCAGCCGCCGCCCCGCAGCGCACCTCCCGCCGCCGCCCACGGGCGCGGCACTGCCCCGCCGGCCGTCGGCCTCGGCGTGCCGAGACCCCCGAGGGCCCCCGAGGAGGGCCAAGGCAGGGCTCTCCCCACGGGTTTCTTGGCACCGCTCGGACGTGTGCATGTTTCCTTCGGCGAGGACCACCGAGGAGCATCCTTGATGACTTGGCGAAAAAAACACGCACGAAAGCGAACAAAAACACAGGGAATGGACGTCCGAGCGATGGCGAGGGTTCTGCCAGTTTTTCGGGCTCCCCTGCCTGCTCGGGCCCCGGAGGGCCCAGGACGGCCCCATGGGGCCCCAGAGAGCGCTCCAGGATGGCCCCGGGGGCGCCCCAGAGGGGCCGAGAAGCGTCCAGGAGGGCACCACTGCAGCGCACCCCGACCGACCGAACCGCAGACCCCCTCGCGCCGTGAACAGATCACGACGGAAGGTCTGTCTTTTGCTCATTATGTTCGGCCTCCGGGGGCCCCTCCGGGACCGTCAACAACACGAGTCCGGGGTCGACGTCACAAATCACGACGCTGGGGGTCTGGGGAGCTGGCCTCCAGGCCAGCGAGCCCCTCGTCGCCGAGCCCGCGCGCCCAAGACGGCCTGGCGGACGACCTGGGCTGCCTCTGCAGGATGCGGGGGACCTCTTCCGCCGCAGCCCCAGAAATTCAACACCTTGAAAAATCCAAAACGGAGGGTTTTTTCGCAGTTGTCGGCCTCTAATTAGGGGCCCTCGCCGGGCGCCAGTATCGTCAAAGAACGACTCGGGATGAAACACCGCCCGCCAGGGAAGGCTGGCCACGCGCAGAGGGGGGTAGGGGGAGGGGGGAAGGCTTCTTAGAAGCACCCCTGCTTCTTAGAAGGCGCGGGCGTTCTTTGTAGATGCAAGGCCTGCGCCTTCTAAGAAGCAGCCTCCTTCTAAGAAGCCTTCCCCCCTCCCCATACCCCCTTGTGCGCGCCGCCAAAAAGGGGTCGAGACTTCCGGGGACCCCGCCTTGAACAAAGTCACGACGTCGGATCTATCTGGGGGGCGCGGCAGCGGCGAGCCGCATACGCTCGCGCTCCAGCCGGCCGGGGGCGGGCGAGCGAATATTGTCCAGCGGCAGGAGGGAGAATAGGAGGCGGAGGGCGGCCGCGGGAGACGGGAGAACACGAGGGGGCCCTCACTGCTCGACGAAGACCTCGCACAGTGGGGGCGCGTGCCAAGAAACCAGTTGGATTCTGCCAGGGTTCCCTGGGTTTCTTGGGTTTCGATGGGCCCCCAATCAGATCTTGGCGATCTTCGATCGACAAATTTGGGTTTGCACGGAACACATCGCGGATTTCAGGGTTGGGTTTCTTGCGGAGGTTTCTTGTGGCCGAGCCCCCACTGTACGGGGAACAAGCAACGATATAAACGTAAGAGTTCGGAAGTCCGCGCACACGTCTCGGATCGGCGCTGGAGCCCCCTGGCGGCGCCTCCGCAACCGCCACTGGCGCGCTCCGCGCGCCAGGGAGGGGGGGGGGGGGGTCCGGCGCCTATCCGAGAAATGCGCGCGGACCTCTGAGGTTTTGCGTATAGGTACGTCATTGTCTGGTCTCCTAAGGATGGAGGCCTGTTCGGAGCCGCCCCCAAGGGCCATGGGCGAAAACATATCCGCGGCCTCGCGGGCTGGGCCCTTGGGCTGCGACCCCGCGGATATGGGACGATTTTGTCGCGGATGTCCCGTGCGGAACGCGAGGCAGACCGGAGGGCGATCGCGCATCCACGGGATCTTTCCCCGGAGTGCCGACCGCGAGGGCGCGGATACGGGTATGTGCGCCGTTCGTGGCAGGGGGGGGGGGGGGCGGGGGACACCCGCTGGATCGCCCCAGCAGGTCCGCGATGGCGAGCTTGCTGGTGCTCGCGCTGGCACCGCTTGTCTCCCCAAAGGTTACCAGCCTCGAACGTATCCCTATCCCTAAGATTGACACGCCAAAAGGCGATGACAATCCTGGGGATCCGCCCCCCAAAAAAGAAGGGGATCCCCAAGATTGGCGTCGTGATGAGGGGATGCCCAGCATAGGGATGGGGATGTGTTCCAGGCTGGCAACAAGGCCCCGCACACGGGCACCACCGGGCGGCATGCTCGGCGTGGGCGCGCCGGGGCGGCCGTCGATCGGGGGCCCCTCCTCCTCCTCCTCCTCCCCCTCCTCCTCCTCCTCCTCCTCCTCCTCCTCCTCCTCCTCCTCCTCCTCCTCCTCCTCCTCCTCCTCCTCCTCCTCCTCCTCCTCTCCCCTCCCAAAAAAGATTGGCCGGTGACCACACCGTGTGGTGAGTGGGGACCGGCGCCGTCGTTTGCTCACTGTTTCGCCGATGGGCGCGGGCCCCTGGCCTCTCCCCCCTTCCCTCAGGAGGGGAAAAAACACACAGACACGATGAATCGTCGATCCCCAGGGAAATATGCGAAAATATGGGAATTGGGGGGGAAGACAGAAGCCCAGAAAATATGAGAAAATATGGGGAGTATGTTTATTTGTGTGTATTTATTTGTGTGTTCTGGGGCCCCTTTATTCCCCCCCTCCTTCATAGACCAGGTCCTGGCTGCTTTCTGCGACTGGTCAGGGCCCCGTCCCCCCAATCTGCTTGCGCGACGGGCAAGAAGCAGAGCGGCTGAGCAGCAGCCCAGGCCCAGCCCTCCCCCCCCTCCCCCACCCTTCGGCCAAGTGTCGAAACCCAGAATGAAAAAAACGCTTGCATTCGGAGTCAGCCCACTGCTTTGGGACCTAGGTCGTTCTTCGGATGTCTCGGACGACTGGGACCTCTGAGGTCACAAGACCGTGCGGTGACGGGCCGTGCGGCGGGGTCCTTCGGGATCTTGAGGTTACCGCGCTGTTGTGGGAGCCCAAAGCCGCTCTTGTGCGCTTCTGGCTGGGCTCGAGGAGCAAACGGTGGCAGGCACATGAAAATGTGGAGGTCCGAGCGGATTCTCTGGATCGGCGCTGGACCCCTGGGCGGCTCCAGCGCCGATCCCAGAACTCCGGGCAGACCTCCGAGTTTTTGTGTTTGGGTCGTTGCTTGTTTCCCAGCGGGACTCTCCCCGCAGGGGGTGCCCCCCCCTCCTGTCCTCCGCAGCCGCGCCCCCCGCCTTGTGTTGTTCCTCCTGCGGCCGGTCAACAATTGCTCGGCCGAGCGCCCCCGTGAGCTCGAGCGCACGGGCGGATGGCCTCCGTCGCGCCGCGACGGTTTCCCGATGGAGACCAGGTCTCAAGATCAGAGGAGGGAGAGGTACCCACACCAGCACGTACCGTACGTCGACGAAAGGTTGCACCACTTTTGCCGCGCATTGTCAGCTATATTGCATTGCTCCTCCCCCCCCTCCCCCTGATCTTAATATTGGGCACATGACAAAGGTCCCTTGGCGCCCCCCCCCAGGGCTCGCGACAGAATGCTGCACCACCGAGCCGTTTCGATGAACCCGGGACCGCAGCCAATATTAAGATTGGGGGGAGGGGGGGGGTGGAAGCGAACACCCATTGCAAAATCGGCTTGCTTTCTTCACAACACCAGGTGGTGCAACATTTTGTCGATGTACCGTACCCCAGCAGAGGTCCGGGGAGTAGCGGTATCGGTACCATTTGGTTCCTCCACGAGAGACGGGGGTCAATGCAAACGGGGGTCAGCCAGGGCGCCAGGTCCTTGCAGGATCCTGCAGAGCCACGGGTGCACCGGCCCCGGCTCGATCCTGCACGGTCCTGCAGCATCCTGCAAGCTTTTGCAGGTGCCTGCGAAGCCCGACGGACCCCGGTGTGTGATCGACCTGGGTCGGTGCGCCCTCCCCAGGGTGAGAGCATCATGTGGTTCCAAAGGGACCCCATGGAAAGGGACTTTGGAGGCGGGCGATGCCCATTTCTCAAGTCCGCTCGGCTTCACCCACAGGGTCACCGGACGACGCTTTCACTTGCCCTTTTCGAAGTCTCGAGATGCAATGCCGCGGTCTCAGAAGTCCCTTTCGCCAGCGTCCCCCTCGATAGCGCATCAGGGCGGCGGGCCGTGCTGTCCGCGGGGACAGGCGTGCGCAGCGGGATGGCCGAGCTGCGCCCTGCTCACGCGAGCGCTGCGAGCATCGATGCCTTTAGTCTGGCCAACGTCAAACAAGGGGGAAGGGTGGAGGGAGAAGCGATGTCTCCAGAGGATCGGCTGCTTTTTTTGCCGGAGGTTTGTGGTCAATTTCTGCGTGCGTCGCCGCGCCGTTTTGGTTCCGACGCGCGGCCTTACGTCCTGGGGAAGGCGCTTCGGCCACCAGGGCAAACGCATCCTCGGATGCGGTGGGTTTCGCCGTGGGTTTGCCGCGGTGCCGGCGTCGTCTCTCTGGGGCGCGGGGCGCAGGGTTTGCCGTGGTGTTGGCGTCGTCCACTTGGGCGCGTGGAGAATATACGTCGTGGCGACATGTACAACTCGATCAAAGAATGAAGGACGTGGATCAGGAGCTGATTCATCAGCACGCGAGGGCTGCCAGAGCGCAGTTTTTCCAGCTGGCAGATGGTGTGCCCCAACGTCATACGGACTCATCCGGAGCCACGTGCGAGGAGGAAGGTTGAGGGTGGAGGGAGGAGCAGGAGGATAGGGAGTCCTGCTGCCGTTGCGCCTCGCCTCCTCGCTCAGCCTCCTGGTGTCTGCCCCTCGCCCTCCCGCTCGTTCCTCGGCCCGCTCCATTTTTGTCCGTTCCGCATGGTCGCCCTCCGTTTGTTGTGCCGTTTGCGCGACCTTCCCAAGTTTCGAAGCAACCCTCTTCCTCATCCTTCCTTGCTTCCTGCCCCTCAGGGCAGCAGATTGAGCTGGTGAGGCTGGGCCAGGAGCTCCTCAAGAAGTACAAGAACCTGTACGAGAAGGATCCGCGCTGGGGACAGATCGCGTCCCTAACTCTTCTCCTTCTCATCCTCCCCTCCCCTTCCTCATCCTCCTCATCCTCCTCTCCTCCTCCTCCTCCTCTTCCTCATCCTCCTCATCCTCATCCTCTCCTCATTCTCATCCTCTCCTCCTCTTCCTCATCCCCCTCCCCTCCGCGGAGCGCGCGGTCCGTGGTGCCCTGGGGTTGCACCCGGGCCTCGCAGGAAGGCGCCGCACGGGCGAGATGCTGACGAGCGCTGCCCCAACTCCTCCTCCTCCTCCTCCTCCTCCTCCTCCTCCTCCTCCTCCTCCTCCTCCTCCTCCTCCTCCTCCTCCTCCTCCTCCTCCTCCTCTCCTCCTCTCCTCCTCCTCCTCCCTCCTCCTCCTCCTCCTCCTCCTCCTCCTCCTCCTCCTCCTCCTCCTCCTCCCTCCTCCTCCTCCTCCCTCCTCCCTCCTCTTTCGCCACCCCACCGCGGAACGCGTCACCAACGGCGTCGCCGCGACGCGCCCAGGCAGCACAGGCAAGCGCGCGCCACTGGGCCCGCGGCGCGGAGCCGACACCGTTCCAAGGGGGGGGAGAGAGGGAGGAGGGAGGAGGAGGAGGAGGAGGAGGTGGAGGAGGAGGAGGAGGAGGAGGAGGAGGAGGAGGAGGAGGAGGCACTGCTTCTTAGAAGGCGCGGGCCTTATCTGTGGACGTCGGGCCCACGCCTTCTCAGAAGCAGCCTCTTTCTAAGAAATCTTCCCCCCCTCCCCCTACCCGTTTGTGCAAGCCGCTGATAATTCTCTGGCGTCGGCTTGGCAGGTTCGTCCTGCGCCCGCGCGCACACTTCAGAGAAGGGAAAAGTACAGACATCTCTACCCTTCGCTCGTTTTCCCCTTTTAGGGCCTCCTGAGAGGCCCTCGTCGCCACCGCTGGATTTGGTTCGAAATCCTGGACAGAACGCACCCCGGGAGAGGTCTGGGGAGTAGCGGTATCAGTATTTTCAGATTTCCCTTATCGGCTTGGCAGGTTCGTTTTGCGATCGTGCGCACAGTGGCCCTACGCGCGCGCGTGACCGTGTGCGCAGCTGTGCACCTGCGTGCACATAAGCATGCATCTACTCGCGTCTGGCGTGTTGTATTTGCAGGCGTACATGCCTGCATGATGTCCGTTATCAGCCAATCGTGCCTGCATGCGCCATTGTGCTATCTCTCATGCACTTGAGAAGTGTGCTGGCGGCCGGGCGTGTTGCAGAGCAACCTGTGGGTTCGTCTGGCCCCTTCGCTGATGCTCACGCGCACGCCTATGACTAGACACGCTTGGCGTACAGTTTAGCGTCGCCTAGCTTAGGGTAGGCTGGTTCAGCCTGGCTTTGCTTGGACGAAGAAGACCAGGCCCATGTACAAGTACAGTGGCAACTGCTGGCAGAGGCGCTCACATACACAAAAAGGGTGCAGATGCAGGTGCAGCCAGCTGGGTGTGCATCCACAGTCACATGGGCACAGGGTCACACACGCACCTGCATATCTTCTCGTGCATGCACATGCACATGGACTGTGTACATCTACGCGCGAACATCGGAAGAAGAGGGTCCCTTGCACGGGTGGGCCCCGATTCCCCTTCCCCATGGCTGGACCGGACCCCTTTGGTCACCACTCAACTCACCAAACCTCCCCAACCCAACCCGAAGGCTTCAATTTGCTGCCCTCCATTTCCAGTTGGGGGGGGTCGGGGAACACTGAAAAACACATGGAACCCGTACCCCCCCCAACCCGAAATTCGGGTCAACTTCGGGTCTTCGGGTTGGGTTGGGGTGGTCTGGCAGGTAGTCATTCGGAAGCACAAGGTGGAGTTCCTCACGGCTCGAATAGGCCGCCTCGATTTGTGCCGAAGGCCTGCAGCCGGCCCACGGCAAGCCTCAGACAGCCTCCTCGGGTCTGCCCGGGCCCCCGAGACGACCTCCGGGCTTCGCCCCGCGCCGGTGAGACTGGCAGGGATGGCCTCACTTGGCATCGCTCGGACGTGTGCATTTTTCCTTCGGCGAGGACCATCGAGGAGCATCCTTGATCATTTGGCGAAAAAACCACGCACGATACCGACAAAAACACAGGGAATGGACGTCCGAGCGATGGCGAGCTCAAGACCCCTCTCCAAGGGTTCCTCCGAAGACCCCCGAGAGCCGTCCGGGAGAGTCCAGTGAGGTCAGAAGTCAAAATGTTGCGACATTGTAGGCGCCCCTTCCCCTAGCCGACGCCGAAACGCCCCAAAAAACAAGCCCGACGACCCCAGGCAGCCCAAGATCACCCCAAGACGGCCCCAAGAATCCCCTCCTAATGGAGCTCCAGGAGTTTCCCAACGACCCCTATGCCTTCCAGATAGCCCCCAGGCCCCGAACCCCCGACTGATCCATCAATGGGTTTCGAAGATCCCGACAAAGTCCCCCAAGAGCACTACGTTTCCAGTTCTGTCCGGGGGAGATATATATAGGGAAGTCATTTGTCCCTCGCACTGTGAGCTTTGTATCAGAAAACAGTTCTGAAACAGGACAAGAGGAAATGCACAACAGGCACGAACACACTGCCAGTCCAGCAACACCTCCACGGCGTGGTGCGTCAAGGGGGCCCAGCGGACATACATCTGCATATTCCGTTTGCGTTTGCGTGGATTTGCACATGCATCCATGTACCTATTTACCAAACGCCCTGGGTTTGCGCCGAAACCTTCGCCGCTAGCCTCGTATGGATTCTAGGTTCACGCCCATCGAACAGTCGCAGTGCCAGCGCTACTGGCTGTTGAAGGGTGGGAGCCAGGGGGTTGGCCAGTGCGCGCGCCGCCGTCGATCAGTATTGTTGAACCTATCACCGCCCCCCAGCCCCACCCCACCACCTCAGTTGGGGATTGGTCCCTCTAGGCGCGAAGGGAACAGCCTGCATCCCAATCTGGGTGCCAGATCGGCCAGTGGGGCCCAGGACACGCTGCTGGGGGATAGGGATCGGTCCAACGGGGTGGAGTCCCGCCGCGGCCCCAGGCGGCGGCTGCTCCTCGTCATGCAGCTTTTTGTTCGGACAGGTCAGATTGCGTGGGCCGACTTTTGGGGCTCCCAGGTCCCCAACGGAACGTGGCAAGAGAGTTGACCACGTGTCGTCGTGTGCCTTGATCCTTGGGATGCCTTGATCCTTGGGATGCCTTGATCCTTGATCCTTGGGATGTCTTGATCCTTGGGATGCCTTGATCCTTGGGATGCCTTGATCCCTGGGATGCCCAGTCACTGTATAGGGGGTTACCGGTGGAGAGTGCGCGGCCCTCCCCCCCGCCCCGGATGGGCAGGCCTGCGCCCGGAACCTCCAGAGCTCGTGGCGGGCCTGGGTGGCGCAGGCCGTGGCGCGGCGGCGGGCGGCGGCTGCCGGGGGTGCGGCCACGCGGGGGATATTTGCGTGCGATCGGCGCGTTTTTGGGGGCGTCGGGTGGTGCCGCGTGGCCCTCGTCGGGGCTCCTCGGGACGCGGCGGAGAGCTCCGTCGAGGTCCTCGCCCACCCCCTTGGACCTCCTTTTGGGGGTTGCACGCCGTGCCCTGGATGAGCCGCACCCTTCGGAGTCGCCGAGGCGGGGGGGGTGTCCACGGGTCTGGCAGGGTGTCGGCGCTTGCAGAGGAGGGAGAGGCAAGGGCTCCCGCGAGGGCGCGAAGTTATTCGCGCTTCGCGCTTCGCGGTCCTCGTTCCTTCTCCCCCTCCTCCTCGTCCTCCTTTTCTCCCTTTGGGGGGGCGGCGCGAGAGCGCGAAGTTATTCGCGCTTCGCGGAGCGCGAAGCGCGAAGTTGGGAGCCCTAGGAGAGGAACCGATATCGCTGCCCCTGCCTCAGTTTTGCCTGGTTGGGCCCCCCTGGGAGGCCCTCGTCGCCGCGGCTGGATTCGCCTCGACGCCCTGGTCAGGACGCGCCCCGGGAGAGGTCCGGGGAGTAGCGGTATGGGTACCCTGCTGGCGGTTGCAGGGGTCAGTCGGCGGCGAGCCCAGGTGGGGAGTGAGAAGGAAGGCTCGGAAGTTCCCCAGCCTTCTGAGAAGTTGTCTGAGCGTCTGAGCCTCCCTCGAAGACGCAGAACACTTCTCAGAAGGCGCGAGGGCTTCGGAGAAGTCCCGCCGCCTGCTCGGAAGGCCTTCTCCGTCCCACCTCCCCCCCCTCGCTCGCCGCCGACTTCCCCTGGCCTTCTGGGGCCCTGGCATCTGGATCCCAGTCGAGGTTTTTTAGGCAGTCGAGACAGGTCATTATATATGACAAGTCTGGAGGGCTACTTTTGAAGCACTCTGGAAGGTCAGGGTCTGCTCCCTCCGAGGGGCGCTGGCGGTTGCCGAGGGAGGAGGGAGGAGGGAGGAGGGAGGAGGGAGGAGGGAGGAGGGAGGAGGGAGAAGGGAGGAGGGAGGAGGAGGAGGAGGAGGAGGAGGAGGAGGAGGAGGAGGCGGGGGCGGAGGAGGGGGAGGAGGTGGAGGGGGGAGGAGGAGGATGATGGGGGTGGGGCCGGGCGAGGCGGGCGGGCGACTGCGAAGGGTCCGCCTGGCCTCCTCGAGGCCCTCCGGCCTTCGCAGAGGTCCCCCGTGCTTTGTGGGGGGGGCGCGCCCGGGTCGCCCCGCCCACCCAGGCCCCCCCTCGCGCTGTGAGCACAAATCACGACGGGATGCTCTTCGCTATCTTCCAGGAGGGGAAAAAGCACAGACACAATGAAGCGTGGATTCCCAGGAAAATACGGGAAAATATGGGAAGTGGGGGGAAGACAGGAACCCAGAAAATATGGGAAAATATAAGGGAATCTGGTTATTTGTGTTTATTTACTTGTGTGTCTCAGTTTCGCTTCAATCTTCTGCCTCGGGGGGCCCTCGCCGGGCCCCAAAAGCGTCAAACATTGGCTCTGGGCGAGTAGCAGACGCCGGAGCAGGGAAGGGGTCCAGACCTCTGGGGGTCGGGGGCTGGGAGCCTTGTGCGCGCCGCCACGGGGGTGGCGAGGTGCAGGAGGGTTGTGGGTTTGGGTAGAGGGCGTGGTTGGGCGTGGATACGGTGCCGTCTTTCGGTTGCGGGGGCGGGGGTGGGAGATGAATCCAGCCAGCGCAGGATTGTTGTTATTTGTGGCTCCGCCGTGCTCCCTCGCTTCTGCCCCTCGTCGTCAGGAGTGGTGTGCATTGTGCCTCGGTTGAGTTACTCAGGGGGTATGTCTCCCAAGAGCTTTCTTCCAGCCTGGCGTAACGCTCGTCACCCGGGCCAAACTCCCCTCCCTCGGGTAACGCTATCGATCGTATCTGGGGGGTGGCCTGCCCCCCCCCCAATGTGCTATCACGCGCAGAGGCGATTGATTCGCCTGTGGCGCGGACGCACCCTGGCGGGTGCACGCCGCGGCCGCCGTTACAGTTACTCTCCCGCCCGACCCCCCCCCGGGTAAGGACCTTAACTCGGGGAATAAAAACACGGTCACCAAATCCACGTATCAGTTGCGTTTAGTGATACTTGTGCAAGTGAGGCACTGTAGTGCGAAAGGGAGAGGGAGAGAGAGCGAGCGAGAGAGAGTGACAAGAAGAGAGAGAGAGAGAGAGAATGAGAGAGAGTGACGGGGAGTGAGAGCGAGTGACAGAGCGAGAGAGAAAGAGAGAGGGAGCGAAAGAGAGAGAGAGAGAGAGAGAGACAGAGAGATAGAGGGAGTGACAGAACGAGAGAGAGAGAGAGAGAGTGGCAGAAAGAGGGAGAGAGAGAGAGAGATAACAAAAAAAATACCGAGGGAAAGTGAGAGAGAAATTACACGCAAAGAGAACGACCATCAAACAACAACGAGAGGGAGAGGGAGAGGGGGAGGAGCATAGTCGCGATAGTCACGGTTTCCCCACGCCGCGGGACATGTTGCTGGTCAGTGCTCTCAGATGGATCATTTCCATGGTATCTCGACTTTGGCAGTTGAGGGCGTACTCTACGTAGCACCCAGCAATTGCGGATAAGAGTGAGGGGGCGGGCGCGGGCGACGCGGGCATCGAGCCGGCGGACCTCGTGGCCTTCACCTTCCCTGGTCGCGGGAAATGTTGCTGATCAGTGCTCTCGGATGGATCTTTTCCGTTGCATTTCGACTATGGCAGTTGAGGACGTGCTCCATCTGGAATATGTGTGTCTAAGCCTCTCCCGGATGGGGTCGGAGCAGGTGGGGTCGGAGAATCGCGCCGCATCGCCGATGCATCGCCAGTGCGGCTCGATGTGCAGGCCTATTTCCTTCACGCGCGCCGATGCATCGCCCATGTCGACGATGTATCGCCGATGCATCGCCAATGCATCGGCGATGCATCGGCGATGCATCGGCGATGCGGCGCGATCTTTCGACCGCATAAATTCGGACCACATCTAGGAGGCCTCTAGGTAAGTAGTGGGTGCCAGTGCGCCAATCGACATAAGGGTCGCAGCCTCACGCGCTGCGTTGGTGCTCGGCGCACAGCCCTTCCTCGTGCACGCTTGCTTGCCGCATTGCCCAGAGGGTTCTCGCTGCTGCCGCTAGCCAGCGGTTGCCTACCTTGCCCCGTATTCCCTGTCTCTCATCCGCTCAACTCTCCGCCATCCCCTCTCTACCCTTTTCCTTGCGCCTCTTCCTCTCTCCCCATCCTGTCCCCTTCCCTACTCCCCTCACCCCATCTCCCGTCCGCTTTCAACAGTTTTTCAATCTGATTACTACTCTCCTCTCTCCCCTGGTGGCGGCCGGGACATGTCTGGCCCCCCTCCGCGAATTGGTTTTTGTACACAGGGTTCAATGGAGTTGGGGTTTCGCTTGGGTTGTTGTTCGAAATGCAGCTCTCGCTGAAGCGCTGGCTTCATTTTCGGGTTACCGCTCGTTCGAAACCGTGCTCACGCTGCAGCGCTGACCTCATTTCCGCGCTTCCGCTCGTTCCGAATCGTGCTCCCGCTGCAGCGCTGGCGTCATGATTTCCAGCGCCATGCCAAGGCATGGTTGTCGGTCCTTCCAAATTAGTTCCAAAATCTGGAAAATTACCCTCCGAAAAAACCATCGGAAGTGATTCCACATTCGGTGCCGATTCGTTGATTTCTGGGGTCGCAGAAGCCCCTTTGGGGCTTCGCCACGCCATGCTATGTCAGGCTACGCGTCCTCCGAATCGCGTTCGCGCTGCAACGTTGGCCTCGTTTCCGCGCTTCCGCTCGTTCCGAATCGTGCTCCCGCTGCAGCGCTGGCGTCATCATTTCCAGTGCCATGCCACGGCATGGTTTTCGGTCCTTCCAAATAGGCCCCCAAATAAAAAAAATGCCCCCCGAAAAAACCATCGGACGTGATTATACATTCGGTGCCGATTCTTTGATTTTTTGGGCCATAGAAGCCCCCCCCAGGGAACTTGAAAAACGATCCTGCTGGAAAGCGCCGATCCGACGACCCAGTGAGGGGTCCAGGGGCCCAGTGTGAGCCCATTGCTCAAGGAAGCCAGACCATCGAGCCTGGCAGCCCGCCGTACTATTCCCTGACATCCGTCCTCGACCGCCACAGCTTCCCCTGCCGCCGCCGTCGTCCTCTGCGTCATTGTCGCCGTCGGCAATTTCTGTACGTTCCCTGGAGCTTCTTGAAGTCTTCGGGCCATCCGCCATGCCTCGTGCAGAGCTGTCCGGGGAGCCCAGGGAGACTTGGAAGGGGGTCGGGGAACGCAAGGAAGCGTGTCGAAAGGAAAGGGGGAAGGCCTTGCATGATTACAGTACCCCTACCAGACGGCACTTGTCATTCGAAAAGCGCCCGCATCGGGGAGGCACGGTTGCGCAGGACATGGAGCCAGGATTCTGGACAGGCCTTCTCTTTTCGTGCACGGGCTCTTTTCGTAGTGCGCCATCCTGTTTTCCTGACGCAACGTCGTTTGGGGGCACGCCGATCAGAGGACCAACACCTGGTGATCTTGCTCAGTCGACTCGGCCTGTAGGCTGCGCCAGATGTTCATCCGGCTTCACCGGCGCAACGTCGTTCGGGTGCTATGTCGTTTGGTATCTGCCGAATACCCTTCAAAGTCTGTGCTAACCTTTGCTTGTTGGCGATGAGCAAAGAACGGGCCATTTACCCTCCAGGGCATCGGGTGCCATGCCATGGCATGCAATGCGATGTTGCGTTGTGATCCGCTGTGCGATGCCATGCCTTGCGCTGTAACGCTTTGTGGTGCAATGCTACTACGCAATGCCAAGCCATGCTATGACAGGCTCTGCTCTGCCGCGTTCTTCTACACCATGTTACGCCGTTGCTAACCATGCATCGCAAACCCTCTCGGGATCATTGCCTTGATCGTTATCGGCCTGTGCGCATAAAGAGGAGATCTGCGCCATGGTGAAGGTTGGGAGGGAGGGTTACGACGACAGATATGACGCGAGCGCACCTAGCTTGCCGTCCCCCCATCCCCTCTTTCCCTCCTCCTCCTCCTCCTCATCCTCCTCATCATCATCATCATCATCATCATCATCATCATCAGCAGCAGCAGCAGCAGCAGCAGCAGCAGCAGCAGCAGCAGCAACATCCCACCTGTAACGTGTATACAATGCCATGCACTCCTCTTTCTCCTCCTCCTCCTCCTCCTCCTCCTCTGCCTCCTCCTCCTCCTCCTCCTCCTCCTCTTCCTTCTCCTCCTCCTCCTCCTCCTCCTCCTCCTCCTCCTCCTCCTGGTTCCTGGTTCCTGGTTCCTGACGGCCTGAAGGTTCGTCGAACGCAGAATTTCCTGGCCTCCACAGCGAGAGGCGGTTTTGAAAAGGCGCCTCTAGCCGAACGGGGGGGGGGCTACCCGGGGGGGGGGGGGGGGGGGGCTACCCCCAGGGGGAGGGAGCACGACAGACGGGGACGACCCGTGAGGCCAAACAGCAGAGGAGGAGCGGGGAAGGCGAGGAGGAGCGGAAGGTCAGAAGGAGAGGAAGAGGGATGGGGGATGTCCCGACCAGGGAGCCCCTGCCAGCGGCCCCCCCGTAAGTGGCGGGCAGCTTTCCCACAAAGGGCGGCGCACCCGAGAGGGGGGCGCTGAGGGGGGGGGGGGATTCCCGGAGAGCGGGGCCTCGACGCTCAGTCGCTGAGTCGTCGCCGTCGCCTTGCTCCTCTTCTTCTCTCCTCCACACACACCTCCTGTCTCTCATGATCACAGCCCTCTTCCCGCCCTGGGAGCGCGGGGCGGCGAGTGGCGGGGGCCGACAGCGGAGGGAGGGTGGTGCGTCGTCGACATTCGGTCGGCGGCAGGTTGCGATGCTGCCGGAAGCGCGGAAGTCTTCGCGCGAAGCTGGGGCCGAACGGGGCCGAGCGTTGGCTTCGCGCCCCTCGCCTGTTGGCGCTGTGTGGATTGGAGGACGGTGCTGCAGAGGGGGTCGACCGTGATCTTGAGTCAGCGGTTGACGCCCGCGCATTTGCCAGAGCGTGTGTATTCGCTGGGCTGTCGAGAGGACTCGTGGCTGGCCGCCGATTGTGGCGCCCCCCGTGTGGCGGTGCATAGTGGCAGGGAGAAGGGTGAAAGACGAGAATACGGTATGAAGAGGTTGGGAAATGAGAATGCCACGGTCGTGGCGGACTTGCCGCTGTGCCAGCCAGGTCGGCGCACCTGGCCACTAGCTGCCTGAGCAGCCAGTGGCTCTTGGGCCAAATGGCTACGGACTCCTCCTCCTCCTCCTCCCCCTCCTCCTCCTCCTCCTCCTCCTCCTCCTCCTCCTCCTCTCTCCATTCTCCCCTCTCCCCTATCCCCTCTGGGGACTGCGGGGCATGGCGCCGTCAGGGGCACCGCGAGAGCAGGCTGGTGGGCCTGCTGTGCGGCGCCCAGCGGCGGACAAGCGGGCGTGGGCCACCTCTGTTGCAAGAGGACTTCCCTCGCACTAAGGGGGGGCTGGGGCAGGGAGGAGGGACTGGGGCGAGGGCAGGGAGGGAGGACGGGGAAGGGCGAAACAGGGGGGGAGGGGGAGAGCAGGGAGGATGGAGGATGCGAGGATGTAGGAGGGAGGGAGGAAGGAGGAGAGACGAGGCGGGACGATGAGGGACGACCAGGGAAAGGCGGCGAGGAAGATGAGGATTATGATCATGGCACATCCTCTCTTCCCTCTCCTCCGCCTCCTCCTCCTCCTCCTCCTCCTCCTCCTCCTTCTCTTTCCTCTCCTCCTCCCCCTCCTCCTCCGCCTCCTCCTCCCCCCCTCCTCCTCCGTCTACTCCTCCGTCTCCTCCTCCTCCTCCTCCTCCACCTCCTCCTCCTCCCCTCCGTCTCCTTTTAATGTTCCGTCTCCTTCCGCACGTGTGCGAACGGGCCTCGCCAAGCTACGCTTGTCGCACACATCCCAAGTGCAGTGGCAGTGTCGCTTCGCTTGTCCTCACCTCGAGTGCACTCTCCTGCGAGAGATTGTGCGTGTCCCGCATGTGCGCGCCAGGCGTGGCAGCCCAGCTGCTCCACTCAAGGAGGTCCTCTTCTTCTCGACTTCCTCCTCGACTTCCTCCTCCTTTGGAGGAGGAGGAGGAGGAGGAGGAGGAGGAGGAGGTGATCCTCCTCGTCCTTTTCCTGCTCCTGCAACCCGTGTAGCAGCTGGAGGTCGACTTTCCTCCTCCTCCTCCTCCTCCTCCTCCTCCTCCTCCTCCTCCTCCTCCTGCTCCTCCTCCTGCTCCTCCTAGGCTTCTGCTCCTCCTAGGCTTCTGCTCGGGATCTTGACCCCCAGTGGCCCCCAAAAGGCCTCTAGAGCCCCCCCCGCTCGCCCGAGAGCGGCAGCCGGCGCGGTCGAGCGCCACCCGACGAGCGCCTCAGAGCCTCCCTGCCCGATGCTCCAGGCCGAGGGCAGCGCTCACTGTGTCGAGGTGGTGAGGGATGCGGGCTGAGGGCGTGGAGAGATCTTGGTCTCGGCGACCTCCAGCTGCTCCACGGCGCCTCAGTGGCAACAGTGCTCGGCTCGAGTGCTCGGCTCGAGCGCTTCAAGCTCGACGAACCGACAACGCTGTCGCACTGGCCACCACAGCGCGTGGCTGCACACACTGTGTGCATGGCACTGCGCTGCGTCCGCTGCCGCTTCTCGAGAGCTCTCCCGGACGCGACGAGGGCAGCCGTTCTCGCGCGAGCTGGCCCCCTCGGCCTGCCTGCAGCTCCGCCTGCCTGGCCGCCAGGACCGCCCTGACGCAGCGGCGCAAGCTGGCACCTACAGGAGGAAAAGAAAAGGCCAGAGGAGGAGGAGGAGGAGGAGGAGGAGGAGGAGGCGGAGGAGGAAAGGTCGCCTCGTCGCCTCTGCGATGGCGCTGGCGGCGTCTGCGGCGTTGGCGGCGCCGGCGGCGCAGCGGCGGCGTTGGCGGCCGCGGCGGCCGAGGCTCGGCGGCGGCCCGGGCGCTGCGCCGCCCTCGCTGCCCTCCGGGGGCGGCGGCGGAGCGGGCGCCGCCGCGGCTGTGCTCGAGGCGCGGCCGTGCCTCGGAGCAGCGGCGGCGGCCGCGGCGGCGGCCTCCGCGGCGGCGGCGGCGGCGACGGCGGCTGCGACGGCGACGGCGACGGCCACGAGCGGCGACGTCTGCGGCGGCGGCGGCGGCGACGATCACGACCGGCGCTGGCGACGACTGCGGCGGCGGCGGCGGCGACTGCGGGAACGACGATTGCGGCGGCGGCGCGGCGACCACGACCAGCGACGGCGACAACGGCGGCGGCGGCGACGGCAGGGTCGGCAGTGGCGGACGCCGCCGGGGCCGTGCCTCAGGCGGGGTCTGGTATCGTCAAGCTTCCTTTTGCTCTGCGTCGGGGCTTTCCGCCTCATCGCCGTCGTCGCTGTCGTCTTCGCCACCGTCGCCGCCACCGCCGCCGCCGTCGTCGGCGCTGCCGTCCCCGTCGCGTCGTCGCAGTCCGCCGTCGTCGTTGTCGCCGTTGTCGCCGTCCGCGTCGTCGCTGTAGGCTGTTTTATTATGGGTAGTGATTCCTGGAAGTGCTGTAGGTTGTAGTTTGTGGGGTCGATTGGGTGTTTGCGAGGAGGAGGAGGAGGAGGAGGAGGAGGAGGAGGAGGAGGAGGAGGAGGAAGAGGAGGGGGAGGAGGAGAAGGAGGAGGAGCAGGAGGGGGAGGAGGAGGAGGAGGAGGGGTGAGGTGAAGGAGGGGGAGGAATTTGAGGAGGACTGGAGGAAATCGAGGAGGAGGAACATAAGGGTCATGTTGAATGCGTAAGGTGTTGATGAAGCTGATGATGATGACGATGCTGATGCTGATAATGATGCTGATGATGATGCTGATGATGATGACGACGATGACGACGACGATAATGACGATTTGATGAGTTGATGAGTTTATTTGGACGGTGAATTAATGGCGACGAATGGTGATACTGATGACGATTATGATGATGATGCTGCTGATGATGATGGTGGAGATAACGTTGATGCTGATAATGGTGATGATGATGGAATGATGATGATGATGCTGATGGCGATGCTAATGCTGATGATGCTGATGCTGATGAGTATGAAGATGAGGATGAGGATGTGGATGCCGATACTGATGATGATAGTGCTGATGTTGATGATGATGGCGCTGATGATGATGACGACGATGATGCTGGTGATGATGATGATGACGACGCTGATGATGCTGCTGCTGGTGATGCTGCTGCTGCTGCTGGTGATGATGATGATGACGATGGTGCTGCTGCTGGTGGTAGTGATGATGATGACGACGATTATGATGATGACGATTATGATGATGATGATGATGATGATGATGATGATGATGATGATGATGATGATGATGATGATGATGATGATGATGATGCTGATGCTGATGCTGATGCTGATGCTGATGCTGATGCTGATGCTGATGCTGATGCTGATGATGATGATGATGATGATGATGATGATGATGATGATGATGATGGTGGACTGCAGGAGGTACCTCTGGGTGCTGTCCGTGCACAACTCGAAGCACTGCACATTGCCAGGGTGCACGCGCCAGTCTGTGGCCCATCTTGGCCTGATCGAGTCTGGCGCTGGTGGCGTATAGCTTCGCTCTGCCGACGTCGCGTGGGTCATCGCCGGGGGGGGGGCATTTTCGGGTTGGCGCCGAGCGAGTGCATTGGTGCTATGAAGAGGGACGGCCGCAGCCTGATGGACCTTCTGATTCCTTTTGCGGAGGACGGTCGTGTACGGATTGGCATTGCAAGATCGGTCTTTTCTTCGTGCGTCTCCCTTTTCTCCCAAAAATATGCGCTGGAATAAACAGGAAAAACAAACAGGCATGCTACGTAGAGGGGGCGTCACGCAAGGTTTTCTGTGCAAGCCACATTCTGCGCTCCTGCCAGATCGCCCTTCGGCCACATGTATGGTCTCGCAGTGCGCTGATTGGTTCCGCGAGGTGGAAGCTGACCCCGCCCCCCCCCCCCAGGCCAGATCACTGCTCGGCCGTGTTGACGCTCGACTGCGCCGTGCGCGCCTCGACTTCGCCGCGGTGTTCCGGTGCGCCGATGAGGATACCCGCGGGGCTGTTGCCGCTCAGGTCCTCTGCCGAAGCACCTCGCCCCCGTCGTCTGAGTCCGCTTTCCGCATGATCGCCGATCGTGATCGCCGATCGTCGCCGATCGACAGGTGATTATTTCGAACATCGCGTGGTCGGGAGGGGAAGTCAGGTTGTCGACTTTGCGTGTTACACGTGATCTTTTTCTCATTCATTATTTTGCCGATCGGCGCTGGCCCTCGCCCCCCCTCCTCCACTCCCCCATGGAGTGGATCTTGGCTGCTTTTGGCGACTGCCCCGAGCAGGCGGAGCCCCTCCCCCCCAGGACGCACTGCTGCAAACAGGCGCATTAAGCAGAGGTCCTGAGCCAGACACCCCCCTCCCCCAGCCCCTTCCGCCCAATGTCGAAACGCCGACTAAGACAACGCTCACAAGTCAGGTTGTCGATTTGGCGTGTCACACCGCGAACGGCATGTGTTCGGCTCGACGTCCAGGCTGACCATGGCCACACTGTGATCGGCCCCATGTGTGTTCTCCTGGGCGTGATGGGGGGCGGGGCAAGTGCCCCGACATTCGAAGGCGTGAGAATCTGATGGCGTCGTGGAACAAAACACGGTGTGCCGGATTTCCGGAGTTGGATCGACCGTTGACTGTCCTGGGGTCCGAGCCGATTGCACGTAAGGGTGACCTTTCGCCGGAGTGACCTTTGGTGTGGGCCCAATGGGGCCCCCCGATCGCTGAACGCGATGCGGTAGTTGCGTCTCGCGCGCTCGTTTTTGGCCCTCCCCGCGGCCCCCCAAAAGCTGCGCACCAAAGGTCACTCTTACCCAGGGTCACTCCTTGCGTGTAGTCGACCGAGCCCCAAGGGGGGTGTGAGGGGGTATTGTTTTCGGGCGCGACTGGGGGGCTGGGCCGTGGTCGTCGCTGGCGGCAGGGCTGCGATTTGTGGGGTCCTCACAACAGCCTAACTGCGCCTAACCAGATCGCGCGTTTTCCAGGTCGTGGTGGTGGTCATCTGCAATGCTCGCAGGTATCCCCTGGTGTTTCCCTGCCAGATGGCAGGCTGTAAACTATACTCTACACTGCCTCCAGCCTGCCTGCACCTTCGTGGAAACCGCAAAGCGGAGGTTTAGCGAGTGCTCGTTTTGATATGCGGCTTCGCCCGCGCGCTACGGCGCATGCCATCCTAACAGACCGTCAGGGCACGTGGGATGTGTAACGTCGACCCCAGTCGACACTCGGCGGCGCGCCCTGGGGGGAGGTGAGAAGGGGCGGGCCTTCTCAGAAGGCTCGGAAGTCACCCGGCCTTCTGAGAAGTTCTCTGAGCCTTCGCCGAAGACGCAGAAAGCCCCATCAGAAGGCCTGAGGCCTTCCGAGAAGTCCCGCCGCCTTCTGAGAAGGCCTTCTCACTTCCCCCCCTCGCTCGCCGCCGAGACACATCGGTTGCCCACCAGCAGCCGCGGCTCCGCGCCCACCAGCAGCCGCGGCTCCGCTCCTGATCTCGATTGCGCCCGGCTCGATCCGATTTGATTCCGAGATTCTTCGGACGGAGGAGGAGGAGGTAGAAGATGAGGAGAAGGAGGAGGTGGAGGGATGAGGAGTACTGAACACAATGAGACGGGCGGATGAGGGATGGAGGAAGGATGAAAGAGTGAGGGGCAATCGGAAAGGATAGAGGAGGAGGAGACAGAGGAGGAGGACGAGGAGGAGGAGGAGGTAGAAGATGAGGAGAAGGAGGAGGTGGAGGGATGAGGAGGACTGAACACAAGGTAGGTCAAGGGAGGACAGAGGAGGAGGACGAGGAGGAGGAGGAGAAGGAGTAGGAGGATGAGGAGTAGGAGGAAAACGAGGACAAGGAGGAGGAGACGGAGGAGGAGCAGCAGCAGCACCTAGATGGTGGTGGGTGGAGCAGGAGGAGAAGGATGGATACAGGGAGGAAGGAGCACAGGGAGACGGGTGGATGAGGTATGGAGTGAGGGGAGGAGTGATGGGCAATAGAGAAGGAGGAGGGGCAATAGGAAGTGAGGAATGAGGGGCAATAGGAATGGAAGGAGGAGTGAGGGGCAATAGTGAAGGAGGAGTGGCAATAGTGAAGAAGGATGGATACAAGGATGAAGGAGTGAGGGGCAATAGGAATGGAAGGAGAAGGAGGAGGATGAGGAAGAGGAGAAGGAGGAATAGGGACTGCTGTGTTGGGGGGTGGGGCGGGGGATGGGGGAGGCGGAAGACGTATGAACGCGGGATGGCGGCATGAGAAGGAAGAGGGTGGAGGAGGGCAGGGGAGAGGCAAGATCAGAAGCAGGAGCCTGACGAGGGAGGGAAGGAAGGACGACGCAGGAGGAGGAGGAGTTGGAGGGATGAGGAGGACGAGGAGGACGACGACGACGCGGGACGGAAGACGGATGACGGAGGCGGAGGTTGGCAAGCCGACGGCCCGCCCGCGGGGCCTGCGGCGTACAGCAAGAGCGTGTCGCTGGGAGCCTTCGCGCGCCAGCTGTGCAAGCTGCGCGCCCTGCAGGAGCCTCCTTCGCGTCCTCTGGGGGGAGAGAGGTGGAGACGGAGGAGGGGGAGGAGGAGGAGGAGGAGGAGGAGGAGGAGGAGGAGGAGGAGGAGGAGGAGGAGGAGGAGGACGTGTCCTTGAGGTCATGATCCGTTCCTCCCTCTTCCTCTCCTGTTCTCGCCCGTGCCTGTCGTTTTCTGTGTGCTGTCCGCTTCCTACCTGCTACAGCGTACCTCACCAGCCGGCAACTCTAGAGGCGACCGCCCCTGAAGGTACTTGGCTCACTAGTTTGATCACCCCCCCAGGGCCGGCTGTCCTTGGAGGGGGGGGGGGCAGGGCAACGTTCGACGAACATGTTCTTGCCTTCGGGCTTTCAGGGTTCCAGGAGGAGGAGGAGGAGGAGGAGGAGGAGGAGGAGGAGGAGGAGGAGGAGGAGGAGGAGGTGCGTCGCGTGCGTTGTCCTTCTGTGCACGGGTTAGGGTCCTGGGTCACCTAGCGGTTGCCGCCTTCCCTGACGCCGAGAAGCCTCGTCCTCGTCGTCTGTTCGGTCTCTGCGAGCTCGTTTGGGGCCCCAAGGACCATCGGGTCAAGTGGAGCGGTGGCCGCTGGGGATGCTTGCAGTGTGACAGGTGTTGTAAGACAAGGGCTCGTCTGGTGCAGGACGGTTTCCCCGATGTCCCTGCTAGTCTCGCCCATTCCCACTGGTCCCACTGTTATCAGTGGGCGGGGGGCTCCGATGGGCCTCTCTGGTGCAGCAATTGTGGTGTCTATGCTAGGTTTATGTCGGGCGTGTCCCCCTACAGGGGGATTTTCGACGAAAAATGAAACAAGTACCCCAACAATACCCCAAAAAGGTTAAACAATCCCCCAAAAATAGTCCCCATACTATTTTGGGGCTATCTTTGGATTTTCAATTTTTTGTAGAAAATCCCCCTGTAGGGGGACAGGCCCGACTTTATGATAGGCGTCAGGTTTTGAGCTTTCGGGATCCGCGCCCTTCCCACCCCACTGCGGACAGAAGGACGGCCCTCGACCACCTCAGTTCAAGGCTGTTGATTGCGCCATCTCTGGACAGTCCATTCCTTGGCCTTGTCCGTGGAGCCTCCTCTGTCACCCCGCCGAGTCGGCTGGGTCAGTGGACTCTGCGGAGTCATGGCGGAGAAGAGGGGGCATTTGTCGAGAGGATTCCGATTGAGGTTCTGGTCGTTGGGCCTGGTGCTCGGGCGTGGCTGCTGGTGCGACGCGCGGAGGATTAGTTGTGCATGGGGCGGCTTTCCTGGGGAGGGGGGGGCGTTTCCAGAGGAGCGGAGCGCGGAACGAGGAGGACAGGGGTGGAGGAGGGGGGAGTACGACCTCCAGAGGAGGGAGGCAGGATTTCGAGAAAGGCATCCTGGCGGGACCCTCGGGTGCAAGCCCACACCCCTGGGCACAACTCGCGGGAGCATCATGCAGTGCAAACCCACGACAGGAAACACCCTGCTTGCTTCCAGGAAGCCCTGGGCTTCTGGGGTTTCGATGGTTTTCCGATGGAACACGCGTGACGCTGCCACTCTAAAAATCAATGGAGGTTCTGGGGTCTCTGGGTTGGGCTTCTTGTGGAAGGTTTCTTGTGGTCGAGCTTCTACTGTATGGGCCTCTCGGGGCCCTCCCTGCCGCCTGAGGCGCCTCTTGGCCCGTCTCGGGGCCGAGGCTGCCTTGCGCCCCTCTTGGGGCTCCTCTCGGGCTGCCTTGAGCGCCTGCACGGGCCGTCCCGGGGCCGCTTCGGGGGAGGAGGAGGAGGAGGAGGAGGAGGAGGAGGAGGAGGAGGAGGAGGAGGAGGAGGAGGAGGAGGAGGAGGGGGGAGGGGGGCAGGGGGAAGCTCGAGGCGCTGGTCAGCATCTCCTTCAGAATCTGCTGTTTTGTTCGCCGCCTGCGGCGGGCCAGAGGTACGTCGCTGGGCGCGCAGTGGGCGCCCGGGGCGGGCTTGTTGTTGTTGTTGAACATTATTACTTCTAAAGAATAATTATTGTTGGGACCCCTGGTGCACGACCCCCCTCCAAAACCTAGGCCGCAGCCTCATTTCCTTCATTTTCTAGCGAAAGCTTCAGAAAAGTGGATTAGTACCGGATCCGGTTGTTTTGTTCCCCCCCGCTTTCCCTTGCAAAAAACACTATAAAATGAAAATTCTTGTTCTTACTTGATCAAATTTCAAGAATCCCTTGCAAAAAATAAGGTAAAGTGGACATTCGTGCGCGCAAGACGAAATCCTTCCAAAACCTTAGGTTTCGTAGCGATTTTAACATAAAAACATCAAAAACCCAATGTTTTTTAAGAAAAAATTGTCAAAATGTCCTTCCGCGCGCGCTGTCCGAATCCCACAAAACCAATGGTTTTTCAACATTTATGTTACATGAGCTCGCGCGAGCTACTTTTTCTTGTTCTAACATAATCAAATTTCAATAATCCCTTGCAAAAAATAAGGTAAAGTGGACATTCGCGCGCGCAAGACGAAATCCTTACAGAACCTTAGGTTTCGTAACGATTTCAACATAAAAACATCAAAAACCCAATGGTTTTTCAAAAAAAAAAATGTCCAAATTTCATCCCGCGCGCGCTGTCCGACTCCCACAAAACCAATGGTTTTTCAACATTTATGTTACATGAGCTCGCGCGAGCTACTTTTTCTTGTTCTAACATAATCAAATTTCAATACTCCCTTGCAAAAAAAAGTAAAGTGGACATTCGCGCGCGCAAGACCAACAAAAAACACGACGATCTCAGGAACTTGCCCCAAAAATGTGACCAACTCCGCTCTCTCTGTCTCTCTCTCTGTCTGCTCTCTGTCTCTCTCTCTGTCTGTCTGTGTCATGTATTGTATGTCACAATTGCAGGATGCTGGGCACACGCGCGCCCCGAATAAGTGACCAAGTTCTGTGGGTGTGTACCCCACGCCAGTGTAGTAGCCACGGTCGTCCGCACGCCACGAAGTGAAGTGTCCCAACGTCATAGGGCGGGAAGCTGGGTTTGGGTGGTCGCGAAGAGTCGTTTGGATATTTGGTAGAGCTTGACTGCCCCCCCACGAAGTGGGGGTATTGTCTCGCGTCGCATGAAAACCCTGGCACTGGTGAGAACACTGAGCGTTCGGGTAAAATGATTGTTGTTGTTGTTGTTGTTGTTGTTGTTGTTGTTGTTGTTGTTGTTGTTGAACATTATTAACTTCTAAAGAATAATTATTGTTGGGGCCCCTGGTGCGCGCCCCCCCCGCCGCGCCTAGGCCGCAGCCACATTTTCATCATTTTCGTGAGGAAGTCTCAGGCAAAACGTGGGTGTCCGGATCCGGTTGTGTTGTTACGATCGGTTTTCCCTTGCAAAAAATAAGGCAAAGTGGACATTTCTTGTTCTAACATGACCAAACTTCAAGAATCCCTTGCAAAAAATGACACGAAGTGCACATTCGCGCGCGCAAGACGAAATCCTTCCAAAACCTTAGTCTTCGTAGCGATTTTCACATAAAAACATGAAAAACCCAATGGTTTTTCAAAAAAAGGGTTTCAAAAATTCACCCCGCGCGCTCTTGCGGATTTCTTAGGAAACCCAATACTTTTTCAACATTTCTGTCAAACGGGCTCTTGCGAGCAACTTTTTCACGTGCTTCGAACTTCTGCAACAAAGGTTGCGCGCCTGCCAGGGCCATCATCCCTGTCAAATAATACCATGTGGGACACATTCGTTTTTTCTTCGCGCGCGCACGCCGAAATCTTCAAAAATCATTGGGTTTCTTAGGAATTTTAGCACCGCGCAACATAAAATCATACGAATCGCACCGTAGGTTCTCGAAAAACATCTGTACGAATTTTCAAAATTTCTACCCGCGCGCGCTGTCCGAATCCTTAAAAACCAATGGTTTTTCAACATTTATGTTATAGAGCTCGCGCGAGCTGTTTTCGCAAGCTCTTTCAACGGCGTTCGCGCGCCTGCCAGGGGCCACGATCCGCCAGTGTAGTAGCCACGCGCCAGTGTAGTAGCCACGGTCGTCCGCAGGCCACGAAGTGAAGTGTCCGAACGTCATAGGGCGGGAAGCTGGGTGTGGGTGGTGGCGAAGAGTCGTTTGGAAATGTGGTAGAGCTTGAACCGGCCCCCCCACAAAGTGGGGGTATTGGCGGGCGTCGTATGAAAACCCTGGCACTGGTGAGAACGGAGTGTCCCCACGTGCTAGTAATTGTTGTTGTTGTTGTTGTTGTTGTTGTTGTTGTTGTTGTTGTTGTTGTTGTTGTTGTTGTTGCTGTTGTTGTTGTTGTTGTTGTTGTTGTTGTGTTGTTGAACATTATTTATTCTAAAGAATAATTATTGTTGGGCCCCCTGGTGCGCGCCCCCCCTGCGCCGCCTAGGCCGCAGCTACATTTTCATCATTTTCGTGAGGAAGCCTCAGAAAAGAGGGTGTGTACAGGATCCGGTTGTTTTGTTGTAATCCGCTTTCCCTTGCAAAAAACAATAGAAAATGACATTTCTTGTTCTAATATAATCAAATTTCAAGAATCCCTTGCAAAAAATAAGGTAAAGTGGACATTCGCGCGCGCAAGACGAAATCCTTCCAAAACCTTAGTGTTCGCAGCGATTTTAACATAAAAACATCAAAAAACCAATGGTTTTTCAACAAAAAATTGTCAAAATCTCATCCCGCGCGCTCTTGCGGATTCGTAGGAAACCCAACACTTTTTAAACATTTCTGTCAAACGGGCTTTTGCGAGCAACTTTTTCGAACTTCTGCGACAACGGTTGCGCACCTGCCAGGGCCATCATCCCTGTCAAATAATACCATGCGGGACACATTCGTTTTTTCTTCGCGCGCGCACGCATCATCGGGACAACGATCGGGACAACCACAACCATCAGGACAACCATCGGGACAACCATCGAGACAACCATCGGGACAACCATATCCTCTCTCTCTTGTGTATTCCCACATCCCTCAGGAATTTGCCCTAAAGATGTGATCAACTATCTTGTGAGTACGTATCATGTGTATCATGTGTATCATGTACCATATGCATCATATGCAACAGATGTTCTGTGGAAGGCTTAACAACTTCTGTGGGTTAACAAGGCTTAACAACTTCTGTGGGTGTACGAACGTAGGCTTAACAACTTCTGTGGGTGCGTACTCCACGCCAGTGTAGTAGCCACGGTCGTCCGCAGGCCACGAAGTGAAGTGTCCGAACGTCATAGGGCGGGAAGCTGGGTGTGGGTGGTGGCGAAGAGTCGTGTGGATATTTGGTAGAGCTTGCACTGCCCCCCCACAAAGTGGGGGTATTGGCTGGCGTCGCATGAAAACCCTGGCACTGGTGAGAACACTGAGCGTTCGGGTAAAGTGATTGTTGTTGTTGTTGTTGTTGATGTTACTGTTCTTTTGATGTTGTTGAGCTCTCAGTACTGAAGAACATCTTATTGTTGATCCCCCGCCTCCAGTGACCATTGTATGTTTTCCATTGAAGTGCTTCCCCGGGGGCTCGCACTAAAAAAACATGAACCCTCAGTAATGAAGAACATATATTGTTGATCCCTCGCTTCCAGTGACCAGTGTACGGGCTCGCATTCTGTTTTTCTTAAACCGGAAAAGTCACTAGGCTCAAATTGTGCCCTTGACCGCTTGTTAACAACAACAGCAACAACAACATCAACAACAACAACGGTTTCCGCTTGGTATTTCCTCACAACTGATTCTCAAGTCGCGCTCTCGCACGGGACTTCCTCACAATGTGTATACGAATCGCGCTCTCGCGTGGGAATTCCTCGCAAGTTATTCAGACGATGCGCCCTCGGCGCTAAGGAATCACGCTCTCGCTTTGGCTTTTCTCGCGATTTGCGCTGTCGCTCGAGACTTCCTTGCGATTGATGCCAGACCCACGCTTCTTCAACCCGCCTGCTCGACCTGGTCGCCCTGGCCCGCCTTCCCGACTTGCCCGCTATGAGTCTGCCCACCCGATCTGCCTATCTGGTTCTACCACTTATTTTCTGCTCCTTGCCGCCCTCCTGCTAATTTCTCTCGTGCTCCATTCTTCTCCCTCACCCTTTCACCCGTCCTCTCTTCCCTCCTTTCAGAGGCTGCACTCAATGCACGTGGCAGGTAAGGAAGATATGCCCCACATTGGGGTACGATCGAAGATGACGAGGGCGGGTACCGAGGGTTTGGGATATACGTATTGGCTGGCACGTGAACAGATAGGAGCGAACAGTCTTGACATGATTATTGTTGTTGTTGGTGCTGCTGTTGCTGTTGTTGCTGCTGCTGTTGTTGTTGTTGGTGTTGTTGCTGCTGTTGTTGTTGTTGTTGTTGTTGGTGTTGTTGTTGTTGTTGTTGTTGTTGTTGTCGGTGGTGTTGTTGCTGTTGTTGTTGTTGTTGTTGTTGTTGTTGTTGTTGTTGTTGCTGTTGTTGTTGTTGTTGCTGTTGTTGTTGTTGTTGTTCTTGCTGGTGTTGTCCTTGTGTTCGAGTCCTGCGGCGCCGCCGACGGTCCGCCCCGCGGCCATCGCCCACGCTGCCTATCCAGAGGAGCGGCACCTGCGGTGGGCGCCCCCCCCATTTTCGGGCGAAGAGAACTATGCACATGCACCGATCCTGGCAAGGCCCATCCTTGACCCAGGATCGGTGCATATGCCTTCCTGGCCAAGGTAGGAGGGCGTATGCACCGATCCTGGGCTCAGGATGGGCCTGGCCAGAATCGGTGTATGTGCATAGTTCCTTTTCCTCTACATTTGTCTTGGCATCGCTCGGACGTGTTTCGATCTTCCAGCGAGAGGACCCTCGAGGAGCATCCGGGAACATCTCGCGAAAAAAAAAATGGCCCGAAGCCGCACGCATCACGCGGCTTGGGCGCCCGAGCGGTGGCAAGCCTTGGGCCCCCCATCTTTCTCTTGGCATCGCTCGGACGTGTGCATTTTTGTCGGCGAAGACCCTTGAGGAGCATCCGGGATCATCTCGCGAAAAAGAGTGGCCCGAAGCCGCACGCATCACACGGCTTGGGCGTCCGAGCGGTGGCAAGCCTTGGGCCCCCCCATCTTTCTCTTGGCATCGCTCGGACGTGTGCATTTTCGTCGGCGAAGACCCTCGAGGAGCATCCGGGATCATCTCGCGAAAAAGAATCGCACGAAGCCGCACACATCACGCGGCTTGGGCGTCCGAGCGATGGCAAGCCTTGGGCCCCCCATCTTTCTCTTGGCATCGCTCGGACGTGTGCATTTTTGTCGGCGAGGACCCTCGAGGAGCATCCGGGATCATCTCGCGAAAAAGAATCGCACGAAGCCGCACGCATCACACGGCTTGGGCGTCCGAGCGGTGGCAAGCCTTGGGCCCCCCAGCTTTCTCTTGGCATCGCTCGGACGTGTGCATTTTTGTCGGCGAAGACCCTTGGGGAGCATTCGGGATCATCTCGCGAAAAAGAATCGCACGAAGCCGCACGCATCACACGGCTTGGGCGTCCGAGCGATGGCAAGCCTTGGGCCCCCCATCTTTCTCTTGGCATCGCTCGGACGTGTGCATTTTTGTCGGCGAAGACCCTTGAGGAGCATCCGGGATCATCTCGCGAAAAAGAATCGCACGAAGCCGCACACATCACGCGGCTTGGGCGCCCGAGAGATGGCAAGCCTTGGGCCCCCCCATCTTTCTCTTGGCATCGCTCGGACGTGTGCATTTGTTCGGCGAAGACCCTCGAGGAGCATCTGGGATTCTCTCGTCGCGAAAAGAGATAGCACGAAGCCGCACACATCACACGGGTTGGGTGCCCGAGAGATGGCAAGCCTTGGGCTCCCCCCCTTTCTCTCGGCATCGTCCGGACGTGTGTATTGTTCCGGCGAGGACCGTCGAGTAGCATCCGGGATCATCGAGAGAAGAAACAGACACGCACGAATCCGAAACATGCACAGGGAATGAACGTCCGAGCGATGGCCAGTTCTTCGCTTCAAGGGAGGATAACCATTCCGACCCCCAGAATTGGCGACGGGCGAGGGGGGGAAGTGAGAAGGAGAAGGCGTTCTCGGAAGGCGGCGGGGCTTCTCTGAAGCCCTCGCGCCTTCTCAGAGGTTCGTTGTGTCTTTCTGGAAGGCTTAGAACACTTCTCAGAAGGGGGGACTTCCGAGCCTTCTGAGAGGGCTCGCCCTTTCTCACTTCCCCCAAGGGCGCGCCGCCTACCACAATTGGCGTTTGCTAAAGGCCCCTGGGCGTCTACTGAACTGCCCTGTTCCGTTCGCGTCCTTCCCTCTGTGTGCGAAGACTGAGCGGCTTCGCTTATCGGGGTGCCTTTTCTGCTTTCCACCGTTGGCTCGTAGGACCATCGGGCCGGGCGAAAGGGGGAGATTGGGAAAGGGGGGGTTACGAAATTTGCTGCATGCAGCTGTTTTCGGCCTCACCGAGGGGCCCATTCCTCGATACATAGCCGCCTCCGGCGCCGGGAGGCGCCGGGAAAATCAGCTACGTGAGCTGATTCTCAAACCCCCCCTTTGCTATCCCCCCCTTTCGCCCGACCCGAGACCAACACCTGCACAGACATCAACCCTCCACGGTCCGCGCGGATTTCTTAGACCTGTGCTGGGGCCCCCCTGGCGTGTGCTGCCCGCGGCGGGGAGAGCGGGGTCCAGCGCGTCAACCGGTCCACGACACGTCGCCGGAAGGACCTCTGGTGCGGGCCCGCTCAAGGGCCCCCCCATCGCCGAACGCGATGCGATAGTACACCTTAGGCGATGCTTAAGAAAACGTAAGTTTTCGGCCAGAGTCTCGATTATTCTTAATGTTTCAATGTAAATCCTAAGATTTGAGTGGAAATTTGGGGTTTTTACTCAAGTTCTGAGACTATGAATTTCTTAACCCATGATTTCTTAAGCATTTCGCAGGGTGTAGTGTCTGGCGCGCTTGTGTGTTGGTCCCCCCGCGGCCTCCAGAAAGCCGCGCAGCAGAGGTCACTCTTACCCAGGGGCACCCTTGCGTGCCACCGATCCCAGAAATCCGCGTGGACCGTCGGATGTTCTCGTCTGTGCCGCTTTTTGTTCCGTGTTTGCCGTCGCCTCTCGACCCGCCTACGGTCCGCCTCCCGCGACCCACCCCACGCGGTTTTTTGGGAACGCTTGTCGCCTGCGGGGTGCCTGCTCCCTCCCTTGCTGTTGCTCTTGCTCTCGTCGGTCTTCTTCCCCCCTCCCCTCGCTCGCCCCCCTGCACCTTCCAGCCCCTGCTCCCATCCAGGATCCGCGCTCCTGTTCGCCTTCGTGCTCCGGCTCCACATCCGCATTCTCGTCCTCTCTCCTCGTGCTCCGCCTCTGCCGCGACCCCCGTCTCCGTGTTCACCTGCTCAGACCTCCGACGTCGTGACTTTGCACGCCGTCGACCCCCAGAGGTCTGGACCCCTTCCCCGGGGCCGGCTTGTCCTGCGTTGTCGTTTTTCGACGGTCCCGGGCCCTGGTAAGGGCCCCCCCAGAGGTCGAAAACAAGGAAAAGCCTCCCGCCGCAGTGCGAGGCGGCCTGGGTGCAGCTGCACCCGCATCCGCGTATTCGCACGTGGCACCTGCGCACGTGTGCGCCCGCAGCTGTATATACCATCTCGTGTCCCCTCCCTGCATGCACCTCTCCAGGACCTGCCCCTGCCTTATCTCCGGCTCCTGTCCCTTTCTGCGGTCGCCACTCAATGGTAAGTCGGGCCTGTCCTTCTACAGGAGGACTCTTCAAAACATAGTCAGCAAAATAGTCTTGGGGCGATGTTTCGACTATTTTCTGAATCTGTTTGAGTTCTTTTGGGCTATGTTTTTTTCCGTCCCAAATCCGCCTGTAGGAAGACACGCCCAACCTAACCATAATGTGCTGTTGGCCCGCGCCCGAGGAGCACGAGGTTGGGGCATTCCAGCAGCTGCTGATACCTGTCCGCGAGAAGCATCATCACGACGATTCGATGGAGCCCCCCCCTCTTAGTGTGCATCGGGCAGGCCGAGGTGGATGGGGGATGGAGGATGGGGGTAGACTGCGAAGCGAAGGTGCGGGTATTCCGGCGAGGGGCAGAAGCAATATCAGCCTTCAGTCATCTTCTTCCCCCTGATTTTCGCGCCCCTCCTCTTCCTCCATCCTGAACCTCCCGCGAGGTCGCCGAGTGGGTCTTACGATGTATTCCCTGTCGGCAATCAGCAGTAGTTGCCATCAACCGAAGGCAGACAGCAAACAACACCAGCAATCAAGCCTGGATGGATAAATACGCGCGCGAAGTGCCATCCCATTCTTGCGTGTCGTCTCATCGCAGCATAAGCCTTTCACGGGTTCGCGCACAGATGTATTCTTAGGTCGCGGTTCGTGGACGTACGGATCAGCTTTGGGAGTTTCTCCTCGAGCAACGGAACCAGCGAGCGTATCCTCTACCCCGAGCTCGGCTCAGACCCGCCTGCTTCAGACGGGACACCATAGACCTCATCGCCAGAGTCGCCTCGACGCCGTGCGAGCCGTGTGCTGCGAGCAGGGCCGAGCGGCTCTTCGATTCGTGTGGCCGGCGAGGTCCGCCACTGGAGGTGCCCCTCGCTGGTTGTACTGCGGCCGGGCGATGGGGCATCCGTCAGCCCGTCAGGAGATCTCGGCCGAGCCGATGGGGCTTCCCGGCCTGGCCTGGCACAGCCCGGGTACCCCGCCCTCCGTGCGTGCCCCCCCCTGCCTCGTGTTGTTGCTCTGCTGCGTCCTCGCCCTCATCGCTCCTCCCTCTCAGTCGGGCATGCCACTGGACAGGGAGACTCTTTCCAAGTAGTCGAAACATAATCTGGGGGCCGTTCTTTTCTCCCAAACCCGCCTGCAGGAGGACATGCCCGACTGACTCCTCCCTCCCTCGTTCCTCCCGCACCCCTGGCCACTCGCCGGCTCCACCAGCCTTTTGGCTCGCGAGCCCGTTTCCCTGTTAGGATGCAGTCCCTGGGTCCCCTCGTCAGGATGCAACCCCTGGGAGGTTCAAGTCAGTATCGGCGATGGTATGTGCGCGGTCGGAAACCAGGCCTGATCCCGCATGGTCCCTTTCGGTTCTGGCCAATTCCGCCTAGTCCATGGTAGTACCGGGCCTAATTTGGCCCCAGCTTGGCCAATCCGGCCTTCCCGCGCCTTACTCGTGCTTGATCGCCATTCTCATCAGTCGGATGAGGAGGAGGAGGAGGAAGGGAGGAGGGGGAGGAAGAGGAGGAGGAGGAGGAGGAGGAGGAGGAGGAGGAGGAGGAGGAGGAGGAGGAGGAGGAGGGAAGTGGAGGAGGAGGAGGAGGAGGAGAAGGAGGAGGAGGAGGAGCAGGAGGAGGAGGAGGAGGAGGGAGGAGGGAGGAGGGAGGGAGGGAGGGAGGGAGGCCTCCCAGGAGTTGTTTCCTGACCCTTGCCCCTTCTCCTCCCCCCTTTCCCCTCCCCTGCCACCCCTCTCTGCTTCGGCTCCGCCGTGCTCTGGTCGAGTCTCCGAGCTCGGATCGTGTTGGAGAAGGCACCCCGAACGAGGCGAACAGGTGGAGCGGAAACTCCCGCCGCAGAAAACAAGCAGGGTGGACCTCTGCGCAGAGCACGGGCGGCAGCGGCGGCGGCAGAGCAGGGTGGACATCGACACCAGGGGAGCTTGAGAAGTGGGGGCCGGTCGAGTGCTGCCAGAAGTGCCCCTGGGCCCACGGTGCCCCCAGGTTGTCCAGGGAAGCACCCCCACGGCCTCCGAAGCACCCCTCCCGAGGCCCAGAGGGCCCCCGGGGCGTCAGGAGTGGGCGAGAAAGCTGGGGGCGCCTTGGGCCAGGGGCACCTTTCGCAACCCCCGAGCCGAGGAGGAGGAGGAGGAGGAGGAGGAGGAGGAGGAGGAGGAGGAGGAGGAGGAGGAGGAGGAAGAGCCCCCCGCCCCACCTGCGGCATCGCCCAGAGAGCACGGCGGACCCGAAGCCGGGGCCCCTCCTGCACCGCATGCTGCCTGGGGCGGCGGGCGCGCGAGACCCGCGGGGGCGGGCACTGCCGCCACGCCGTCTGGGCCCGCGAGCCCCGCCGTCGCCGGCCACACGCAGGAGAGTGGCCTGTCGCCGGGGTGTCCTTCTGGTGCGGGCACGCCCCGCCCGGGCACCGCTCGGGCGTGTGCAGTCGGGGCACTGAGGAAGGAACCCTTCTCGCTGGGGAGGGGCTCGGTGTTCCTGAGTTGTTTTGCAGTTCGCCTCCGGTTTTGCTCAGGGTTTCGATGGGACATCGAAGTTGAACTTCTGGGAACAAAAGGGCCTCGTTCCTTATTTAGGGTTCCTTAGGTCAACGCCCCTTCTGTACATGTCTTCCTCGGCGAGGACCAGGGCCATGAGGTGCATCTGGGACCAGTGCGCGAAGCATGATCGCACGAGGCCGTGCACATCACACGGCCCGGACGTCCGAGCGATGGCAAGCCCTGGGCCCCCCCCAGAGAGGGCGCAGCGCAGCGCGCGACAGCAGCGCCTGCCGCGCTCGGGCTTGCCTCGCCCCCCCCGCTGCTCCTCGAGGTCGCACACCGAAGGCCGCTCTTGCCCCTGGCTGCCGGCCTGGAGGAGATTCCGATCCCCACGTGTTCGCTCCCGATCCACCTCCCCAGGATTACGAAAACGACGAACGACAGGCATCGTCCCATCTCGCTCGTCTGCGTTTTTTGTTTCATGAATGAAGCCGCGGCGCCCGTCACGCATCTCAAACGCTTGTTAGCGTCGAGCCACCCCCGGCGGCTGTGCGCGATCTCTCGAGGGGACGGGCGAGGGCCAAGAGTCGAACTTCCATGAGCAACGCCTGGGCATCGCTGCCAGACGGGTTGACGGGGGCGCGCGAAGCGTAAAAGGATATGGAAGACAGATCCAGCCAGCACTGCTAAGCATCGCCTTACCTCGATGCCGATATGAGGGATTCCCTCAGTTTCTGAGGGCGCATCCCTGATACTATCATCGCCTCTTGGCTTTTCAGGCTTAGGGATAGGGATACGTCCGAGGCTGGTTCACATCTCCTTGAACGCATTTTGTTTCGCCGCCTGCGGCGGGCTGGAGATGCGTCGCGGACGCACAGTGGGCGCCCGCTGCGGGCTTCGAGTCCCTCGGCCCGCCAACGGCTCGCCCCGCGACCAGCCCACATTGCTTCTCGCGAAGAGCGGCGCATGCGGTGGGCCCCCCCCCCCCCCTCCCCCCCTCGTCCGACGAGGGTGTTCCTCCCTTGTAACGACGAGGCTCGTCGTTACAAGGGAGGAACACCCTCCGACCTCGATGATCGGCGTTTGCCGATCCACCCTGGGCCTTTACGAAACAGCCCTGTCCTGCACGAGTCCTTCCCCTGGGTGCGTTTACTAAACGGCTTCGCTTGTCGGGCTGCTTATTCTGAGGGTGCCTCTTCTGCTCTCTCACGTTGGCTCGTTGGGCAACAAACTGCACAAACATAAACTCTCGACGGTCCGCGTGGATTTCGTGGATCTGCGCTGGGGGCCCCCTGGCGCGCTCCCAGCGCCAGGGAGGGGGGCCCAGCGCCGATCCAAGAAATCCGCGTGGACCATCGAACGCTCATGTTTATGCAGTAAGCGCCCGATGCGCTTACTGAAGGGCCTTGGGCGTTTGTTACAGGGCCCTGGGCTTAGGGACAGGAATACGTTCGAGGCTGGTTACAGTCAGTCCGCATAATAAGGATGAGCGACTTTCCAAGGTTGCCCTTGCATCCTTACCCCCTCGGCCCATCCTTTGCCGCTTTCGCTGGCCGTGCCCCGCTCGCAAAGCGTCGGCATGGCCTTCCAGGGCCTTTGCTTCCTTATCGGATCGAGCGTCCTCATTATACGGGCTGACAGTTCCCATAGGGGTGGACGGAGTGAGCCATGGGCTTGGATGATATGATAAAAGCTGTTTCCGAGATCGACGGCTTCTTTCCGTTTGGGGCACAGCTTTTGCTTTCCTTCCGCTCTCAGCATCGACGACCTCTGTCAGGTCATAGCTCGCTTCCTCGACAGTCTCTGCCAGGTTTCCGACAGCATCAGCATCGACGATTTCTCGAACAGTGGCGAAGCGTCCTGGTTCGCCTATAGCCCTACTAAACAATGTTCTAAGAACCTCTTGTGGTTTCCACGACATGTTCTTAGAACATTTTTGGCGGAGCCAGTCTTGTTGTACCACATCGGGATTATGTTCTAAGAACGTTGTTTTTGTTCTTAGAGCATTTTTGGGTTTCGAAGAACGTTTTCGTGGTAGGACTATAGGAATGCCGGGACGGTAGGCCCCTGCTCAAATTTTTACTCCTGCGTGTAGCCGCCCCCCGGCGCCCGCCCCGAGCGCCCTCTGGACCTGGGGCGCGCCTGCGGCGCGCCGGGCGCGGCCGCCGCCGCCGCGCGGGCACGCGCCGGGCCCGCGCGGCGGCGCCGCCTGGGGCGCGGCTGCGGCGGCAGCGGCCGGCCTCGGCGCCGCGCCACGGCGCGGGGGGCGCGCCTGCGTCGTGGGGGGGTGGGCTATCAATCCTAATTACCCCAGTGCGACCCTACCTAGAAGTCGGAGCCCTTAGGAAAACAGCATTAGTTGCTATGCTATGCTATGCTACGCTATGCTGCGCTATGCTATGCTATGCTATGCTAATGCTATGCTATGCTATGCTATGCTGCGCTATGCTATGTTGTGCTATGCTATGCTAAGCTATGATATGTCATGCTGCGCTGTGCTATGCTCAGCAAATACTATGCTATGATATGCTATGCTATGCTATGCTATGTTATGTTATGTCATGATAGGCTATGCTGCGCTATGCTATGCTATGCTATGCTATGCTTGGCTATGTTATGCGATGCTATGCTGTGTTAATGCAGCGCTGCGCTATGCTAAGCTAAGCTAAGCTAA